GGGAAAAACTGCAGTAGACTCTAACAGCTGCAAACAGAGGTGTGGACAGGATGAGGTGGAAACTCAGAAAACCTAGCACTTAATTCTTTCTGGGAGGACGTGGGAGACAAGGTCGTGGACCTGGACCAGGGAGCTTCAGGGTAGCTGACAGTTTGATCCAAGCCTTGAAGGATGAATTAGAGGGATTGCTATGGCAAAGGAAGAGATTTGGAGAAAACGGTTTATACAAAATTGGGTTACACCAAGACCCATCTTCGCTTAAAAAGACATTCAAAAGCAGGGCTCTTGGAGCCAGTCTCAAGTTGGGAGGGTAGGGGCCGGGCAACCCTCAACAGTTCGGGTGTCTTTTGTTGCCTTTCTCTACTTTCTGCCAGAGTTCTTTGTTCTTTGTTGTGGTTAGTAACATTTGTACATAATGGAAAAAAATAATTAAATTTAAGAATATGTTAAATAGGTATCGCCTTGCTTATTGCTATAATTTACTTCAGTAGTTTCAACCCCAGCTTAAATATGTAAATACTTTAGTCCTTCCTGTATAAACAGCTCTTGTAGTAGAAAGCACACTGGACTCAATCAAAATGTCTTCGCATCTTAGTAGCTATAACATGTTGGTTCATTTAACTACTCAGATCCAGTTTTCTCATTTATAATCTGAAAAACAGTTTGTTTTGTCTTTAGATGTGAGTATTTTTCCTTTGTTTTGTTTTTTAGGTCGTGTGAGATAGTGTGTGTGAAAGCAGTGCTGTACAAACGCATTTTTTATTCCCAGTGTAGCGTTTTAATTAGATTCTTAACCACTACTGGGTTCAGAGTACAGATGGACTAGGTCCTGCAAAAGATACAGAAATGAACATGACAAATATTTATTAAGTGGCTGCTGGATGCTGAACACTGTTCTAGTTGCTAGGAGGATAGAGCTAAATGGTCAGGTGTGTGTTCTCTGGGAGATTGGCAGATCTGCCCATAAGAAGCCTGCAATATAGTGGGAAAACAGACAAGTAAATTTAATAAACGTACAAGGAGCCGTAGTGGTGCAGCGGGTAAGTGCTCGTCTGGTTAAGTGCTGCCATGCTAACCAAAAGGTTGGAGTTTGAAGCCACCCAGCAGCTCTGTGGGAGAAAGACCTGGTGATCTGCTTCCATAAAGATTACAGCCAAGCAAACCCTCCGAGGTCGCCATGAGTTGAAATCAACTTGATGGCACCCAGCAACAATAAATGTACATATATTAGGTATTTCTTTTTTGCTGCTTTATCTGTATGTATTTGATCTTCACAATTCTAATATAGATAATAACCATAGTCATGAAATCTAAGATGCCTATAAGGCATTATTTTACATAAGTTATAAGATATACTCCAGTGTCAGAGATGGGAAAATGTTAAAGTCAGCCAAGTTAGGTATTGCCTCCATTTTACAGATGGGAACAGGTAGAGAAGGGCCAGGTGATCTGCCTGAGTACGCAGAATTAGTCCAAGCAAGTGGTTTGCTGGACGATGCAGAACTAGTCAGTGTTGGAGTCAGATTGGAACCAGAACTTTGGGTCTAAAGCCTGTGTTCTTACTCACTGCCTCACAGTACCACAAAGAGTAGGAATAAATGAACTGTAAGCCAGGTTCTGTGGGAGCAGGGATTTCTCACACTGGTGGTATTGTGAAAGGCTTGTAGGAGGAGATCGTGAAGCTGGGTCTAGATTGTAAGTGGGATTTTCCCAGATAGAGGAGGGGAACGGAATTCCAAAGTGAGAAAGTAAAGATTGGAAACTCCTGTAAAATTACCATGGGCCTGGCTCAGCTCGCTTCCACTCTCCCAGTGCCTTCAAGATACCCACCCACATGTGTCCTAACTGCCAAAAGCTGTCCCTTGTGCCCAGTACTGAGGGCTGTCCTTGGAGATGCCCCCATTTCCAGCTACCTGTTGGTCCCCTGCCTAATAGCACAGCTTCAGTGCTGCTGCAGTGATTCCGTACACCTGCAGGACTAGAGCCAAGCTCAGCCCCTGGCCTCTGCAGGCCGATACCCCAGGTGTGAGTTTCAGAGTTACGTTTCACGTTCTCCGCTTTCCCACGCGAACACAAATCAGTCTAAAAGATACTTTACTGAATTCTCACGCTGTTTTTCGTAGAATAATTTGCAACTGGTGAATAAAGATAAGTGAAATCCAGTACAAGTAACATGACTTGTTATCTCAGGGATTTGGATGTCCTTGGGTCCGGTCAGATCACTAGAGTGTGGTGGTGGAACAGTGATCCATCACAGGTGTAATTAATTCCCATTTCCTTGCTTTTCAAGAAAACTTCAAGTGATTGGAGGAAGTTACATTTGCATAATAAAAGAAATTTTCACTTTACTAAAGGAACCGTTAATAATAGTAACAATAGCTAACATTTACTGTTCCCTATGTGCCGGGTGCCATTAAAAGTACTTTCGTGTAGGTCTCGGGGAGCATCTAGCACAATTGGCATAACATAGTTTACAGAGAAAATCTTCCACATTCTACTTTGGTGAGTAGCATCTGGGGTCTTAAAAGCTTGTCAGCAGCCATGTGAGATACTCCGCGGGTCTCACCCCGTCTGGAGCAGGGGAGAATGAAGAAAATCAGACACAAGGGAAAGATCAGTCCAGAGGACTGATGGACCACAACGCCACAGCCTCCACCACGGACTGCTGACAGGGATCACAGCAGAGGGCCCCGGACAGAGCTGGAGATAGATACAGAACAAGATTCTAACTCACAAAAACAGACCAGACTTAAACTGGCCTGACAGAGACCGGAGAAACCCCCAGAGTATGATGCCGGGACACCCTCTTAGCTCAGTACTGAAGTCACTCCTGAGGTTCACCCTTCAGCCAAAGATTAGGCAGGCCCCTAAAACAAAATGAGACTAATGGGGCACACCAGCCCAGGGGCAAGGACAAGAAGGCAGGAGGGCACAGGAAAGCTGGTAACAGGGAACCCAAGGTCGAGAAGGGGAGAGTGTTGACATGTCATGGGGTTCACAACCAATATCACAAAACAGTGTGTGTACTGATTGTTCAATGAGAAGCTAGTTCTGTAAACCATTAAAGCACAAAAATAACTTTCATGTAGTAGTAACCCGTTCACTCCCTTTAAAACAGTAGATCCTATTAATGACAACCTTACACCTCAGCCTTAAAAGGCTCTGGAAGCATTTTAATGATCTAACTCTAATAATCTGATCTGAATGTGGATCAGGTAATAATGCTTCCAGCATCACGGTTACCTCGCTCTCCCTCCTCAGCCCCTCCAGCAGTAGCCTGGTTTCTTATAAAATATCTGAATGACCTGTAGGCCCAGATTGTACTTAACCTTTGACGGGAGAGAGAATAAAACCGGCCGCCATCGAGGCGACTCCAGCTCAGGGCAGCCACGCAGTTCAGAGCAGAACCGCACTGCTTTCTTCCCAGGGGCCTCTGGGTGGATTCCGACCTCCAGCCTTGCAGTGGTGGCCGAGCGCTTAACCATCTGCGCTGCCTAGGTACTCCAGAGAGTGCCCGTAGTGACAATTTTATTCTGTGTATTAAGTGTATCAGCCGAACTAATGAATTTTTAGTATTCACTTCAGAGCCTAGTATAATTCTTAGGATCTAGGTTGTAGAACCCTGACGAACCATGCCTGTCCCGACCACCTAACCGGAACACTTCTGAGAATTAGGAGACGAGTAAAACGACCCCCTGGGAGCAAACGTCCTGAGCGAAGCCCGGGCCCTTTACTTGTAGAAGCACGTCAGCCCTTGCCATCTCTGAAGTTCACGTTTTAGCGGCACCTACACCAGGTCACAGTACGTTACTGGGTATCGTGCAGGGTGACGTTGGGCTTACGAGGAGGTGTCCAGTGATGGTGATGGAGCAAGAGGGGACAAGCCAGGGACAGATGAGCCAGCAAGTGGGGTGCCCACGGGCTTACTTATGCTTCCTTAGTGATCTGTGGTGCAGTTTCACCTGTTTTTGCAATTGTGCACCGCAGATCAGTGAGTGAACACAGTGAAGCCCCTGCATACCTTGCTTACTGGTTAGTCCGCCCGGTGCCAAAGGCTGAAATGAGTAAACCAGTTAGAAGCAGCCTTCTGAGCGCACTTAATACGGGGAACAGACTGTTCTCAACACTTCCATCTTCTTTAATGACAGGCTCGACACAGCGTCTCTGTCCTAAAAATATAACAAGGTTGAATTGTGATTATAATACGCAGAAGTCAAGAGCGTGAAACACTTGAAGAAACGTTGTTAGAAGTGATTTACAATAGTTTTGGTGTGTAAATGTGACAATTTAAGTTGTCTTGAGATGTTTGTATTGGATGTTTTGCCTTTGGGGATGTTTATGAAATGAAGAATTAATATTTCCTAATTTCATAGACCTTGGTTGAGATAAAATAACTGTGAACTAATTATGTCATTTTGACCTCTCCATACGCACGTATCTTACTCATGTTTTAAGCAGGTCTGGGTTCGTGTTAAGGAACGCAGGTGCAGGAGCCAGGCAGGCCTGTATGTAAACCTTGCCTCTGTTAGCTATGTCACTGGACAAGTGAACCTCTGAGCTTCTGCGTTCTCAATTATTCATACATAGTCATTGAACCAATACTTGACAGTAGGCACTGTTTTGGGGGTCAGGATACTTCAGTGAATACGAGAGGAAAAAAATCTCGTGGAACTTACGTTCAGGTTGGGAAAGACAGATGTAAATAAGAGAGGATAATAATAGTACCTGTGTTTTAGGAGTTTTTCCAGAATTAAGTCGGGTAATGCATATAAAGTTTTCTGTCCATAGTGCAGGAAAAATGTGGGCATCTGTTATCTTTAGTGATTGATTCTTAACTTCTTATGCCTCATCTTGCGTGGGATTTGTTGTCTCTCGGCAGTTGATAGTTGGTAATAACTTAATCAGTGACATTAACTTTCCCTGCTATTTCAAGGATTGTAGGGAAAGTGGAGTGATGACAGTGACTGTCATCTGTGTGTGTACTTTGCTTTCCTTTCCAGCAGCCACCAAAGAAGACATCTAAGAGAGAAAAACCTAAGCCGAAAACCACCCCAAAAAGTAAAAAATCTGTAAAAAGTGCTAATGTTAAGAAGGCAGATAGCAGCACCACCAAGAAGAATCAAAACAGTTCCAAAAAAGGTATGTCAGAATTGACACATTATCAGCGCCTTCAGAGTTACGTATGTTATAGCATCGTATTAGCGTGTGTGGAAAACAGGTAAGCTGCAAAGGACATGGGGGGGAGGTACTAAACTAGTTTGATTTTTCAAAATTATTATAAAAATTAATGCATGTTTTATAGATAACCCATAGAGTGATTTATAATCTCTGAGAATCTGATGAAAGCTTATAGCTTTTTGTTTTTTAACTTTAGATGAATGTTTACAGAACAGACTAGCTTCTTATTAAACTGTGCACATATTGTTTTATGACATTGGTTAACAACCCCATGACATGTCAACACTGACCCTTCTCGACCTTGGGTTCCCTATTACCAGCTTTCCTGTCCCCTCCTGCCTTCTCGTCCTTGCCCCTGGGCTGGTGTGCCCCTTTAGTCTTGTTTTGTTTTATGGGCCTGTCTAATCTTTGGCTGAAGGGTGAACCTCGGGAATGACTTCATTACTGAGCTGAAAGGGTGTCCAGGGGTCATACTCTCGGGGTTTCTCCAGTCTCTGTCAGACCAGTACGTCTAGTCTCTCTTTTTTTTTGAGTTTGAATTTTGTTCTACATTTTTCTTCAGCTCTGTCCGAGACCCTCTTGTGATCCCTGTCAGAGCAGTCAGTGATGGTAGCCAGGTACCATCTAGCTGTACTGGACTCAGTCTGGTGGAGGCCTTGGTAGCTGCGGTCCATTAGTCCTTTGGACTAATTTTTCCCTTGTGTCTTTGGTTTTCTTCATTCTCCCTTGCTCCAGATGGGCTGAGACCAGTGGAGTATCTTAGATGGCAGCTCACAAGCTTTTAAGACCCCAGACACTACTCACCAAAGTAGAATGTAGAACATTGTCTTTATAAACTGTGTTGTCAGTTGAGCTAGATGTTCTCTGAGACTGTGGTCCCCACAGCCCTCAGCCCAGTAATTTGGTCCCTCAGGGGAAAGCTTATAGAATTCTTACCTGTCTGTCTTGAGTATTTACTTATTTTACTACCTAACAATTTTTATTCATACGTAATAAAATATCTTACTTTCAGAAAGTGAATCTGAGGATAGTTCAGATGATGAACCTTTGATTAAAAAATTGAAGAAACCTCCCACAGATGAGGAGTTAAAGGAAACAGTAAAGAAATTATTGGCAAATGCTAACTTGGAGGAGGTCACGATGAAGCAGATTTGCAAAGAGGTAATTGAGTAAATGCTCAGAGCGTTTTGCTTTTATTTGAAACGTTTCTTCACCCATCTCTTAATTTGAAGCTAGATCCTGTGTGTGTCCATTGATTGAACGATCGAACTCCTCCTCCGTGCTAGACACTCTCACAGGTGCTTGGGATACCACGTTACATAAAACAGTGTCTGCTCTAATGGCAGTTTTTTGATAAATAACATTAGAATGAATACAGTTTTAGAAATTAAAATGATACGTTCCAAACTGCAAATGAAACTTGCTTTTCCTGTTTTTATTGCTACATCCTTAGATTGTGTTAGTTTAAAAAACTGAGTCTCGGGGACCACCTTATTCTTGGTGTTAGTATGGTAAATGAGATATTCTAGATAGATCCTTAACTCAGACTTCTGTGAAGTACTGATACTTCTCAGAAAATAAAATGTTTTGTTCTTAAATGTGGTTCCATAGGGATTCCATATCCTACATCAAAATTGGGAGATTTTAGATTCAAGTTACTTGTGGTAAAATGAAATTAAAACTTGAAACGTGTACCAAAGTGAAATGTTGTATACTTTTTTAGGACACCGATTTCTGTCTCTTTATTCATTCAGCATTCATTGAGCCTCTGCTAAGATCAGGCAGCGGGCTCGGTGTCAGAGGGGAAGCCAGACGAAACCATTAGTTGGCTTTAGAGGCTTACAGTCTGGCAGGATGGAGACTTAGATACTGAAGGTGTTTCCCTAATTAGAACACAGTGTGTGAGGGCTGTGTTAGGAGAATGCAGACAACCCTACAGAACAGAAGGGACCTACTTGGGACTGGGAGTAAGGGCTGGAGAAATCTGGGAAAACACTGAGTTTTAGAGCATCAGCTGTTCCGTGTAGTCATACAGTTTAGCAACACTGACATGTTCACAGTAACGCTCGCTTGGGGCCTTACTAATTAGTTTACTATGGCTGAAGACGGGGGTTGGAAGGAAATCTCCACAGAAGTTAGGAGAGACCGCTAAAAAGAGTTTTGCAGGTCTTACATGTGCCTTGTTATGGAGTTTGGTTTTCTTCCTGAAATTAATGGGGGATTGGGAGGTTGAGTAGGTTATTGAGAGATGTTTGGCAGTGGCATGACACAATCAGATTTGTATTTTTTAAAAGTCACAATAGACACATCAAGAGGGATGGATGAGAGAACGATAAGAGAGTCAGGAGACAGTTTATGCTGTAATTGATGCCGTAAATTATAGGGTTGCCAAGCTAGAAGTCAGGAGAACCTGTTCAAAGGTAGTTTCATTATAGCAGACCTGTGCTCCACAGGACTCATGGTGACCCCATATGTGTCAGAGCAGACCTGTGCTCCATAGGACTCATGGCGACCCCATATGTGTCAGAGCAGACCTGTGCTCCACAGGACTCATGGCGACCCCATGTGTCAGAGTAGACCTGTGCTCCACAGGACTCATGGTGTCACAGTAGACCTGTGCTCCACAGGACTCATGGCGACCCCATGTGTGTCAGAGTAGACCTGTGCTCCATCGGACTCATGGCGACCCCATGCGTGTCAGAGCAGAATATGCTCCACAGGACTCA